AACATATTTGTCTGTAGTATTTGGATTTGATGCACAAGAGAGTGACAGTACTAATAAAGTGGCATTGCAGTACGTGGCAGTGGAATCATATTAATTTATTACAATTAAAATATAAATTGAAGTAAGAACTAACACACTAATAAACAATAATAATATGAGTAAAAGGCGCATATTAAACGGTTATTGTTTTAATGCAAAATATTGTGGGATTCTAACTTTCCCAATATAAAATAACATTTGGGTAATACATCAATCAGACACTAGGATTAAAATCGAAACTAATTAGAACTTACATAGCTTTAATATATACTAGTCTTAGCGCACGTGTTCCCCGTAATGAGTAATTTTGATTTAAAAAGTTACATAAATATTATTCAAAAATAATGTTTGAGTTATAAAATAAAAATGTTAGCTCCTAAAATTAATGAATATTATTCCTATATAATGATTAACTTAAGGAAGTAAGAAATTTTGTCTTAAATTCACTTAAAACTTTATTCTAGTCTCATAATTTTATTAGTTCAATTTCACAAGTTTTTATGTTTCTTTTTTTACTTTCAATAAAAACACATGGCTTTTAAAGATTAAAGAGTTTTTAGAAAGATATTGTTGAAAAGTTATTCTCAAATTTATTCAAGGAAACACAAACAAAGTTAATTAGCTATATTTTTATTACGATTCTTCAAAGATTTTTCAAATAAAACAAAATATTAATTGTACATGAATTAGTTATTTTGTATAATTTTTAAAATGCATATTTAATTATTTTGCTTTAAGATAATTTTACGTGCTTCATGTACTTTCCTTGAATATGTTTTTATTTTTTCCTTTGGTGATGATCTAGTAAACTATACTCTTCAAGTTAAGCATATTTATAGTAAGCACACTATCTCAATGGATAAATTAAACCGTATAAATATTATTTTAAGTTATATAATAAAAGTAGATGTTCCTTTAAATATGACATTGATCCTATATACATTTTCTACAACTCTTTTGATAAGCTATTCACAAGTTTATTTTAGAAGATAACACACAAGATTAGCAAATTGATAGAAAAGAATAATTTTTCTCTCACAGGTAAAATGTAAATTGTTATATTCTTTTAATCAATAAACAATACTACTGTATGAATCGTTTCCAACATATTACAAGAAAATATAAATCATTATTACTTGTTTTGTATAATCAAATTACATAACGAAGACAATGAGTTCTGAAAAAGAAAAAGAAAATAAGGACTAAAAACTTACCCGCACCGGGTGCTTACACTTAATTTAGTTAAGTTAATCATACAAGAAAACTAAGATTTATTAGGAGTTGTTAATAAATAAAATTTTAAAAGGTATTAAATTGTTACAAAGTCTAGGGTTGCCGTCCTCTTTCACCTGTTCCTCTTTATTTTATTCAAAGCCGTATGAACGTCCTCCAATAACTGCATCTAACAATTCTTCTGCTTTCTTTTTGTCTTGATTTCACAGGAAACTGAATTTACTTATGCAATGATGCATCTGAAAAATTAATATGCAGTTTTATGTAAATATAAATTAATCTGAGAGTATACTATGGGAGACAAGTTTTCATTTTCTTTTTTATATTCTCACTGAGTACAGTAAGACGAAAAAAATATTCTGTTTTTTTTTTCTTTTTCTTTTCCTTATCAATAATTTCTATTAAACTGTTTCTTCTTTTTATTATATAACCTGTGGAATAATTTTTGAGATAAATGCAGTGCCAATAAGTAGCTAAAAAGTTTGAGTTTTACCCATGTTTCTGTTCCGCAACTTATCGATGTTCCCACGTTTATCTACTTAACTACTAAAGTTAAAAACATAATGGAATAGCTGGATTATTAAGTATATTTACACATTATTTTTTTAAGATTGTTCAAAAAATATGATAGTTAACTATGATTAATTATTAGTAGTTATAATTAAATAATATTTCATTAGTAGGGTATAAACACCCACACAAATAAGTTTTTACCCTTAAAGTATTTTAACGGTTTAACCAAAAAAGAACGTAAAAGATTTCTAAAACTGGAAGAAGATGAAGGAAATAAGTACTCCTAAACCAAAATTTTGTTAATCATTGTTGCCTAGTTTAATAAGGAAAGATTTTATAAATAAAATTTTAGTTGATTCGAAATTCCTAAATATTTAAAAAGTAACTTAAATTACAATTTTAATCAATATAAAATCTATTTTTAAATGGTAGAAAAAGCGAACAATATTTCGCTAAAAGGTTTCGTACTTTTAATATATAGATATATATGAGTTAAGCTTTTATGTATTGATAATGCAAAGTCTTTTTTACGAATCATGTTACTTTTAAGATAACTATAAATGATTGTCGTGGAACGAATTATGTGAGAATCTACTATAAAGTTACATGTTAAATTGCAAGATATAATTCAATTACATTAACGCATATAAGTTAATCTTAAGTATTGTTGGACTAAAACGATCTAAATATACCTTTAATATAGTGTGATATTGTCCGTTTTTATGATGATCTGGTAAACTACTCTTCACGCTAAGCATATTTATAGTACGCACACTATCTCAATGGATAAATTAAAACGTATAAATATTATTTTAAGTTATATATTAAAAGTAGATGTTCCTTCAAATATGACATTGATCCTATATACCTAATTCAATAAAAGAAGAAAATATCTCATAAAAGTTCTCATTCATCCATCAGTATATTAATCTAAAAATTTATTCCAATTTTAAAATTCCATCACTTCAAATTCACAAGTGATGATCGTTCCTTTTCAATTTCAGCAATCACACATAACCCTTGAAAATGTATTAAGAGGTTTTCTACAACTTTTTTGATAAGCTATTCACAAGTTTATTTTAGAAAATACACACAAGATTAGCAAATTGATAGAAAACAATAATTTTTCTCTCACAAGTAAAATGTAAATTGTTATATTCTTTTAATCAATAAACAATATTACTGTATGAATCGTTTCCAACAAATAACAAAAAATATAATTCATTATTACTTGTTTTGTATAATCAAATGACATAACGAAGACAATGAGTTTTAAAAAAGAAAAGGAAAATAAGGAGTACTAAACTTAAAGTACTTTAACTAGAAAAGAACGTAAAAGATTTCTAAAACTGGAAGAAGATAAAGGAAATAAGGACTCCTAAACCAAATTTTGTTAAGAAAAATTTTATAAATAAAATTTTAGTTGATGCAAAATTCCTAAATATTAGGAAAGTAACTTAAATTATAATTTTTACCAATGTAAAATATATTTTTAAATGGTAGAAAAGGCGAACGACATTTCGTTAAGAAGTTTCGTACTTTTAATATAGTATAGATGAGTTAAGCTTTTATGTATTGATAATGCAAAGTCTTTTTACGAATCATGTTACTTTTAATATAACTATAAGCGATTGTCGTAAAACAAATTATGCGACAATCTACTATAAAGTGACATGTTACATTACAAGATATAATTCAATTACATTAACGTATAAGTTAAATCTTAAGTATTGTTGGACTAAAACGGTCACAATATATTTTTAATATAGTGTAATATTGTCCGTTTTGGTCAATCCCGCACGATTTTTCTCAAAAAATATCACACCATTAAGAATATCTAACTCTTCATAAGTAGATCATTTTCTCTCTACTTTTCACGAGACACTTTATTCATACACCCAACAATCTCTCTCTTGAACTAAGTTGAGTCATTCACCCATCACCATTCATAATATAATTTGGAGATTAACTATGTGAAATGATATGAGTATTTATGGTCAAGCCAGAAGAGAAGTTGCACATGCGTCTTTGAAGTTATGGGTAAATATAGTAAACCGGTCCATAAATGGGCCAAGGCACTAAGTCGGCCCTATGCATTACTATATCATCTTCATACTCATCCCACCAAACCATTGGCTCTGCTACCAGTTGTTATACTAAATGACACAAAGATACTCTTAACGTAGTATGATATTAATAGCATTGGGCCAAACCCACATGATTTTTTCCAAAAGCCTCACACCATTAAGAGTATCCAATTTCTTATAATAGATCATTTTTCTTCTTTGAAAAATAACACTGTATAGTTGNATATATATATATATATATATATATATATATATATATATATATATATATATATATATGTTATATACAAAAATTATATAAATTTTATACACTTTTTTCGCCTACCAAATGTAAATAGTTTGTGGCGCGGACTAAAAGTAATTATATCCCTTTTTCTTTTTTTACTTTCCATGTGAAACTTTGTTCACATACCCAATTGTGAACCGGAGGGAATAAGAAAAATAACATATACACAATATTGAATTGAAATGCAATAATAAATGTAAAATACACAAGTTAATGTGTTCTACTTCCATACTTGTCATATTTTTCTTTTTAATCCGTTTAAAAAGAATGCTACTTTTTTTTTTACATTTAGTAAGTATTTTTTTAAATTTAAATTTCTAACATTTTTAATTTATTCTTAATAATGACATTCTGTTATAGGAATAACATAACTTGTTTAAAACCACAAGATTTTAAAAATAGTTTTGATATATTATACTCTTCTTTATTTTAACGACTACCAAATTTACAATTCTTCTTTATATTCTTAAAGTTAAGACACATAAAATGAAATATATTTGTATTAGATTACCAACCCAACAAATATATAACACATGTTTTCAAATACTTTTTATCATTAAATCTTAGTTAATTAATATTTTTCATCTTAATTTATAATTTAACCATAACAATAATAATCAATCGTTCAATACTATAATTTAATGTATCATTTTGCAGTTACAAGAAGAAGCTACCAGGAAACTTTAATTACTAACCCCCCCCCCCCCCCCCAAAAAAAACCAGCTTTCAGGTTAGTGATTTCAACGGCTGAGATCTTCTCTCTCTCGTCACTACCTCTCAATCTTGTCAAATCATTTTAGTACTCTGTATTTAAATACTTATCAATGTAAGCAAGTTGCAGACTTTATTTTCAGCACCGCCGCTCTGATTTTCTCTCTCTCTTTCTGCTCTCTATTTTTCTGGAATTTCTCAGTATCACAGGTACTTCATTTCTTCTTTCTTCATTATTTCTTATATATACTTGTCAAAATAGCAATTAATTTGCATATGAAGCTTGCACCAATTCACTTTTTTTTTTTTTTTTAAATTTTAAGAGAAACATTTGTATTTTATTAAGTAGAAAATAATTTGCAAATTGTGTAATTAAATGATAAGTGAATAGTGATTTAGAGAAACCAACACTGATAGCTTAGTTCTTTAGATGTAGCTTCAAATTTGATTTCAATTGATTTAGATTTAGTACTAGCATGTTTTTCTGAAGAAAAAAAAAAATCTTATTATTTGGTATAATTGGAAAAGATTTTGTCTTGATATTTTTGCAGAGTAGATGGTCATGGATAAAAACTATAAGGGGCTATATGAGGCAACATCTGCAATTCAAATAAAGGATGAAGATTTATCATTTTTTCCGGATCTGAATTTAATTAACAATCTCAGAGTTAGGGATCATAATTTAGTCCAAAGAAATCAACCTGATGTTTTAGTTCCATCGGCTGTTGATAACTCTCATGAAGATTATGATTTTAGTGATGTAGTGCTTAAGTACATAAGTCAAATGCTTATGGAAGAGAATATTGAAGAGAAGGCTTGTATGTTTCAAGAATCTGCAGCTCTTCAAGCTGCTGAAAGATCGTTTTATGAAGTTATCGGAGAGAAGTATCCTCCTTCGTCCAATCGGGAAATGCCCAATTTACGTGAGATCGAGGGGCGGTACCCTGTGGATTGTAGTAGTAGTAATTATTATAGTTGTGTAAGTGATGTTAGTGATGGCTTACTATGCCCAAATTGGAATCCTGATATTGGTGGTGATAGTGACTCTTCACATGCTCAACATTTTCCGGTTGATGGTGCTGGTGCTTCGACTTCTCAGTCGTCCCACAGTTCGCCAAGCAGCTCCGGAACTGTCACCGATGCACATTTGGATTCGCCCGTGAACTCGATTCAGATACCGGACATATTTAGCGATAGTGAGTCTATCATGCAGTTTAAGAAAGGCGTCGAGGAAGCAAGTAAGTTCCTTCCTACGGGTAATAGTTTGCTCCTTGATGTAAGGTATAATGTAGTGGGAAAGGAGGATAATGAATACGGAAAAAATGCTGTGGTGAAGGTGGAGAATTGGGGGAAGCATCAATCTCCTGAAGGGTCAAGAGGGAAGAAAAACGTTCATCACGATGATGTAGATGCTATGGAGGAGAGAAGTAACAAGCAATCTGCAGTTTTTGCTGAATCAACTGTTCGATCAGAAATGTTCGATAGAGTGTTGCTATGCAGTGGAGGGAAAAATGAATCTGCTCTTCGTGAGTCCTGGCAAACAGTATCAAGTAAAAATGCTCCAGAGGACGGCCTTCCGAAAGGATCTAATGGTCGGAAGTCCCGTGGAAAGAGGCAGGGGAGTAAAAGAGATACAGTAGACTTAAGAACCATTTTGACACTTTGTGCGCAAGCTGTTGCTGCAGATGATCGAAGGACAGCAAATGAGTTTCTGAAGCAGATTAGGCAAAATTCTTCTTCGATGGGGGATGGGATGCAAAGGCTGGCCCATTACGTTGCCAATGGTCTTGAGGCACGCATGGCTGGTTCCGGTACTCAGATTTATACCGCCCTTATTTCCATGCCTACATCGGCAGCTGATGTCTTGAAAGCTTACCAGCTATTTCTCGCTGCTTGCCCGTTTAGAAAGCTCTCGAACTTCTTCTCGAATAAGACAATTATGAATGTAGCTGAAAGGGCTAAAACAGTACATATTATAGATTTCGGTATTATGTATGGCTTCCAATGGCCTTGCTTCATACAACGTCTCTCTTCTAGACCGGGTGGACCTCCCAAGCTTCGTATAACGGGGATAGATTTTCCAAATCCTGGTTTCCGACCAGCAGAGAGAGTTGAGGAAACAGGAAAGAGGTTAGCAAATTATGCCGAGAGTTTCAATGTTCCGTTTGAGTTTAAAGCTATAGCAAAGAAGTGGGAGACAATTAAAGTGGAGGATCTTGAGATCCGGAAGGACGAGGTTCTTGTAGTAAACTGCTTGTATCGGTTCAGGAATCTACTTGATGAGACTGTGGTTGCAAATAGTCCAAGAGATATTGTATTGAATCTCATCCGGACGTTGAAGCCTGATGTTTTCATACAGGGAATTGTAAACGGTGCTTATAACGCCCCGTTCTTTATCACACGATTCAGGGAGGCACTTTTTCACTACTCATCAGTATTTGATATGCTTGAAGCTAATATTCCCCGTGAAATTCATGAGAGAATGCTGATCGAAAAGATAATATTTGGGCGGGAGGTGATGAATGTCGTAGCATGTGAAGCTGCTGAGAGAATTGAGAGACCAGAAACCTATAAGCAATGGCAGGTTCGAAATATAAGAGCTGGTTTTAGGCAGCTTCCGTTGAACGAGGAGATCATGAGGATGGCGAAAGAGCGGGTGAAGGCATATCACAAGGATTTTGTGATTGATGTAGACGGTCATTGGCTACTGCAGGGATGGAAAGGTCGTATTATTTATGCACTTTCAACTTGGAAGGCAGCTTATTAAATTTGTCCCCATTACTCGTGACGGAAGAAGTTCCTATGCCAGGCTTTGCCTCTGCCCCTCAACTGTGAACTGGTTTATGGTGCCGACTCTTTTGAAGAACAAAGGTAATAGTTTTCAATAGAAAGTGAATATTTTCTTCTTGCTATCTGCAGACTAATTGTGCACATTTGCCAGGACTTTATTGAAGGGCAAAGTAATTGTTACAACGACAAAGGTTATGTGCCGACCCCAACTTGTTTGGGACTGAGGCGTAATTGTTGTTGTACGACAAAGGTTATGGCTCGTGGTACTTATTTGTCTCAGTAGGAGGCTAAGTGAGACGCAGAACTTGGAAGTGTGCTGCCTTACCTTCTCCACTGCAATAAGTCTGTGGCGTTCATTGTCAGTGTAACAGTGAACTGACAAACAGCCCGGTAACAAAACTTTTCCCTGGTATTGCTTATTTTTCCAGGACATGTAAAACATTGCGAGCCGATTGGCCATGTTTATCAGTTGTAGCAGTTAATTATAAATTTTGAAGAATTTCCGTGGTATCGCTACTAATATAGGCGAGCATCAAGTGCTTGTTGTGCATTCGGGTACGTTTACTTTCCAAAAGTATGATAAGATTCATTCATATTTTGATATTGATACTGAATTTTGTCAACTCTGTGCTGAGTTTATTATGCCTCAGAGCAGATGTACTTTGTTTCAGTCTCTTTGTTAATTGACTTGTGCACAAAGATGATCTTGTTAAAATCATGCTTTCTTTAATGAGTTTGCTGACCAAGTTAATTAAACTAGTTATGTGGAGATTAGAAATGCAGTCTAACCAATTGCATAAAAAAAGTCTATTATTAGGAATCTTGTTTTGGTTTGATTTGGTTTTGGTTCGCCTAGTTAAGCATTTAAGCCCCTTGTCTGACCAAGATAAACTCTAAACCTATACCTAATCTTTCGTTATATGATTGACTTTGCACGTTGAACTGTTAAAATTCTATTTATCTGTTGGGTGGTTGGAGGGGTCTGATGTAAACCAGTGCGAATAGATCAAGGTCTAGTGGTTGATATAGTGAAATGACGGATAGAGGAGGATGCGGAATTTAAATTTGACGAATTTGATCTTTAAGTTCTCAGCTATGAATTTATTGTTCTATTAGAATTATGTGTTTAGATCTAAATATATGTGTGTGTCTCTGTGTGTGTGTATGTGTGTGTGATTGAAGAAGTTTGGTACTTGGTAGAGCACGTTTACCGTTGATTTTGGAGTTGCGTTTTACATAAGATTAGGGGTGTGCAGTGGTTCGGGTTGGTACGGGTTTTTCAATTACCAAATCAAACCAATTGTGTTAGGTTATTAAATTTAAAGACCAAACCAATACAGGACAGGTTTTTTAATTTCGGATTTTCTCATTTTTTTCGGATTTTTGGATTATTTGCGGTTGTTTTACTTCAAAGCACAAAACAAAAAATTTGTGCTTCAAATATTTCTTTAATCCTAGTAAGACATAACTATATAAGGTGTTTTTCAAGAAATAACATAAAATATGAGATGAGTCATGTCATTGTATATATTAAAATATTCAACAATAAAAATAATAAAACCATATACAACAAATATTATCTAAGCCATAATGAAAATAAACACAATCTAAAATTATTAAGTTACTAAAATAAGCACGACTAATAAGTACTATTATTTATATGACTAAATATTAAAAAAAATAAGTTTTGTATTTTATCTAAACTATGAAAAAATCAAATAAATAAATAAATAAATATCCAACACTATTGTCATTCCGAGTACAATAGAATTGAATGTCTTTTGTTAGCATTAATATCGAATTGATTTTGGTTTGAGATTTATTTGAGTTACTAACATTTATGGATTATAAAATTTATTGGAGCATATAAAAATTATAAGTCCAAGCTTGAAATAATACGTTAAAAGATATGTAAGAAATAGTTATAAACTACATTGCAATAAATATTTTCATGTAGTGAATATATTTAAAACTTCTATACATGTAATGTCGGGTTGATTTGGTTTCACTTTGTTTTTTTTACCAATTATGGTCGGGATTTTTCCTCAACACCAACCAAATCAAACCAAATTATAGTCGGATTTTTCCTCTATTTGACTCGAATGATCGATTTGGTGGGATTTATCAATTTTCTTTGTACACCCCTACATAAGATATGACATGATTTGAATTGTGTTTTGCATTTTTATAATAATATGTTGGTATAAGTTTTAATTTAATCCGGAAGATCTTGGTGGTGCTTCAAAACCGAAAGACATTCAAACATAACCATATCGTGGGCAGAAGTGAAATAGTATCAATTATGTCCTGTAACTCATATGTCCTACTCCTATCCCATCAGGTCTCCTCATTGGTTAGGGATAGTTGAAAAATAAAATCAGCCATTATAATAAAGGGTCCTATACTTAATCTCTTAAACTAAAATAGCATAAGACATATAATATATGTATAATTCATATATAATAGGTATATAATTATGTATAATCAAATATACCCTTCTATTTTTGAATATTGTTCACATTTAACCTCCGTTATACTTTGCGTGCAATATACCCCTACCGTTAACAAACCTATCACAAATACCCCTAACCCTAACGGAACCTCCATCGTCACCAACTGCCGTCCCTCCAATCTTCTTCTCCATAAACTAATAACTTCCTTCTTCACCTCAACTTCATATTTCAACCCATATATTTAGCTAGAAAATATTGATTATCAATTCAGTCATAATAAGAAGCTAAATTCGCAAAACACCCATAAAAAATTTATGCATGTATACGGTAAAAATCGATTAGTCCTTCGTACGAACTGGTCGAAATGGTAATACATTGGATCGGAGAAGCATCTTCATAATCAGGTTGATGTCCGAAGTCAGGTCACCAAGCTTCGAGCCCTAGGAACCGATCAATGTCGAGCTCGATATCATTACCGAGCTCGAATCCAAATCGAAGCAAAGTGAAGTTATCAAGCTTATGAGGCAGAATCCGATCAACACTGACCCCGAATCAATATAAGAATCCGGGTCAGAATCAAACTCGAGTCAAGATCGAGAGTCCGAGTCAAGATCGAGAGCTCGAATCGATACCAAGTTCGAGTCAATATCGAGCTCATAGACAAGAGCCGTTGCAATTCCAGCACCAGCTAAGGCCCCTAAATGACCGCTCAGTAATAAAGAAGGTAGGGATGCAGAGACAACCAGGCTTCATAGATTGATTCATCTTGCTTAGTCCTTAAATCATCTTCTTTCCATCCTTGTGTATTTTCATTCTTTACAATCCGTATTTGATAATTTCTATTTATCCTTACGATTTGTGTTAAGTTATACCATATATCCTTAGAACTACGTACAAATTTAACTCTATTCGTTTTTCGGGTAAACAGTTTGACGCCCACCATGGGGCTAAGGATAACAATGGTTATTTGGTACGAATCTGCTAAACGCACCCTCTTATACTTGTTGAAAGTGTCTTTGATTTCGAATTAGCAACAACGAACTCTCAATTAACGGCTTTACCTATCGACAACGAAGCTGGCCTTCAAGGAGAAAACAACAACTTGACAACCAAGGCCGAAAGATCGCTTGTCGATGCCGTTCAGGGCCGAGTCGAAGTACCATTAGACGTCAAATCGCATGTGGCTATTGAGTAAAACTAATGTTCTGAGCTCGAAAATAACATTCAGGGTGGTACTCGATCTCCACCTCGAGACACCCATGACGTGGAGGAGAACGAAATCAGCTTGCATATGATTTTCGAAATGTTGCAAGCTCAACAGGTAGCGATAGCTCAGTTGTAGAGTTAAACACAAGTACTGAGAAGACCGGATCCCAGTCCACTTCGAGAAATCACCGGCAGAACGGAGCCAGGTGTAGCAAGGTCAAATGAGCAAGAATCGGGGACCAATCCCGAAATTGTTAAGATGTTCGAAGAACTGACAAAATGAATACAACAAAAAAGGATCGAAGAAAACAACAAAAAGGTGGAAACATACAACTCCAGGGTTAATCAGATCCTGAGGGCACCCCCGATATTGAAAGGCTTGGATTCCAAAAAACTCGTACAGAAGCCTTTCCCCCAAGCGCGACCCCTAAACCGATCCCAAAGAAGTTTTGCATACCCGAAATTCCTAATTATAATGGGACGACCGATACCAACGAACATGTCACCTTTTACACAGGTGCCATTAAAGGGAACGATCGAGAAGATGATGAGATCGAATCTGTATTATTGAAAACATTCGGCGAAACCCTGTCGAAGGGGGCAATGATATGGTATCATAATTTAACATCTAACTCTATTGATTCTTTTGCTATGCTTACAGATTGTTTCGTAAAAGCACATGCCGGAGCCATGAAAGTCGAGACCTAGAAGTCGGACCTATTCAAGGTAAGACAAAAGGATAACAAGATGCTAAGAGAATTTGTATCTCGTTTCCAAATGGAACGAATGGATCTACCACCGGTCACAGACGATTGGGTTGTCCAAGCTTTCACTCAAGGTCTGAACGAACGAAACTCGATGGCTTCACAGCGGCTGAAACATAACCCAATTGAATACCCAACTATTACTTGGGCCGATGTGCACAATAGGTATCAATCTAAAATAAGGGTGGAAGACGATCAATTGGGTTCCGGGTCTAGTTTTAAAAGGGATACCAATCGAGAACCAAGGTCAAGCAAGGATCGATACCGGCCATACAATGGAGATCGTCGGGGTAGCGAACTTTCACGTAACTCCGTACGAGGCGAAAAGAGAAATGATCGAAGCCAAGTGTCTCAGGGACTGATGAACAGAAATGGGTTCGATAGGCATACCGGACCTAAGAAAGCACCGTGGCTATCAGAGTATAACTTCTGCATCGATGCATCCGCCATCATGTCTGCTATCTGACGCATCAAGGACACTAAATGGCCTCGACCCATGCAGACCGATCCTGCTCAGAGGAACCCCAATCAAATGTGTGAATATCATGGAACCCATGGGCACAGAACGGATGAAGATTGAAGGCAACTAAGAGAGGAAGTAGCCCGGTTATTCAATAAGGGCACCTTCGAGAATTTTTAAGCCACATAGCCAAAAACCATTTCAAAAACAGGGATTTCGGCAAACAAAACGAACAAGAACAACCACAACACGTCATCCACATGATCATAGGCGACATAGATACCCCTCAGAGGCCGGTACTTAAACACACTAAGACATCGGTTATAAGAGAAAAGCGATCTCGAACTTGAGATTACACACCCATAGGAACCTTGTCTTTTAATGATGAAGATGCAGAAGGAGTCATGCAACCTCACAACGATGCACTGGTAATATCCGTACTTATGAATAAAACTAAAGTTAAGCGTATTTCGTCACACTCCTTTTCTACCCCAAAAAGAATATTAGTGTATGTTATTTTATTATTTGTGGATTAAAGAGTTTTTCTAATTGAAGTGACAAATTTGAATAAGGATTATTTTATTTACAGAGTCGTCACTTGGAATTGATTTTTCGGTGTTCCAAGTCACCTTTTATTTGAATCCCTAATCAAAAGAATATTTGACTCTATTATTAATTGGTCTGCGAAAACAAAGTCCGAGTAAAAAATTCTGTTGACCGGGGAGAAGGCGTAAGGCATTCCCCGAGTCCCGTGGTTCTAGCAGGT